GTATGTATGTATGTATGTATGTATGCATGCATGTATGTATATAAATATATAATATCATGTTTTACCAGCATATTACATATGTGCTTAATCTAATTGAATACTGAAGTAAAGAAAATATTATCTACGATAAAATAAATTCACAGTATAAACTATATGGAATAAATGTTACATTTCTTGTGTTAACCAAAAACGACTAAATATATAAAATATATTCAAACATTTTTAAATTATTATTAGATTATTTTAACAAGTCAATAATAAAACTGAAAGCATGTTATAAGTAGGAAAACAAGTAATATAAAACTACAAAATATATATCACATATAAAACACAAACAACTTATTATTACTCGAAGATAGTATGTTATCATTTTAATATCTGTACACAAATTATATAAAGTAAGTAAAGGAAAAGAAGTTCACCGATGTATTAAAATTCAAAAATGGAATGCTGTTAATTCTTGCCAAAATATTTTTGATGTCTTTCATATGACACAGCCAGGTTTTATGTAATTATACTGTTTGTTAATATAGGATGAAAATTAAATAAAAAGCTTTAAAATAGAAAAAATTTTAAAAAAATAGAATATCTAACTAAAATATATGAAAAAATATATGTGCGCAATTACTCTTTGCAACATATAAAGAAATTATTCTTAAATTATATATATAATCTTATACTCGTGAGTAAGAATATATACATAATTTTTAATAAATCAATAAATTATTTTGTTGAAAAAATAAAAAACTGTAACTTTTAAGGAATATAATTGTAAATATAGACATAAATAATATGTATACACATGTACATATTTGTGTATGTATATGTGTATGCATTCATATAGTTTCCATTATTTTCGAACAATTATCGATGTCTAATATTTGCAAATACTATTAAATAGAAATATGATTTTTATATACAAACAGCTAAGTTCTCGAGCATAAAACAGTAAAACTGTACAAAGTTCGTTTTGTACATAAGTAGGAAACAATTATCTGTAGGTACATATTTTTCATACCGAAATTCGAAAACTGAATCAATAGTTTTGCTATGATAATCTTAGTTTTTTCATCAACCGTATCCAAATATGTATTATATATATTACTTTAATCAATGAATGTAGCTCGACCTTCCTCTACTAATAGTCGATCAATGTAAATATCTTCAGCTGTATTAACATCTATCAATTTTAAACCCAATACAGTATCAGCCGGAGAAAATCCATCAGGTTTAGATTCAACAACTATTGACACAAAATTTTTATCCACAACCAATTCTTGAAACCTTAAACTATCTTCAACAGACCAGTCGACGTTAATCGGTCGTATGCCTGTTTAAATTATTAATAAAATTTACGAAATAAGACTTTTTGCATTTTAAAAACAAATTAAAACAGGAAAATAAAACAATTACATACCAACAAGTCTTGCTTTAATAGCTTGATATGGTAGTTCTAAGAATTCACTTTTCAAAGGTTGTAATTTATTTAATGGCAGTACTGATACATCTCCGAAATCGCAAAAGTAAACACTAACCATATTTTCTTTAATCATACTTGAAATGCATACCCTTAAAAGTGATTCGGAATAAATAGAAATTATTGATTAACATCGGTAACTCCATATGTAAAGTTCAGACTTAAAATATATTTATAAATCACTTTTTATTTATACCTATACCAATGACTGTCAATATGTTGTGCCGCATAAAGTTTGCCTTCTTTTACTGATTCTGCAGTCGGAATTGGACCTTTATATGCTTGACAAGCTTTTTGTAATAGAATCATCATTGACTAAAATTATAAAATATATTATATATATTATCGTAACATATATTTTACATTAAATAAAATAAATGAAACCTTTACCTCTAACGAACTTTTATCATTAAATGGTTGAATAGTAAAATTTCCGGGATGGGCAGCCATTGTTACATGAACATCAAAATATTCACCAATATCCGAAATTTTCGGTGGTTTTAAAGATTTTACATCATCACTTTCATTTCCTGGAAATTTAGAATTCATACGTTCGACTCTTGGTTTTCTTGGTTTTATGTTATTATTACCATCCCCATGTGTTCTAAAAATATAATAAAAATAATTATTTATTTAACTTTAATTTAATTTATTATTTATTATTAAAACTTTTAAACAGTCCAGTATACCATACTTTGTAAGTTCCTCTTCAAGAGCCAAAGTATTATTGATAGAAACAAGCATGTTGCTTGGTTGAATTCTTTTAAATAATTCCACGATTGGCGTCTTACTTTCAATTGATACAACTTTTATAAGAAGTGATTCATTTTTTGGTGCTAGCTCTGCAAGTTTTGCAACCATCTTTCCATTAAACATTGACTTATCAATGTTATGAAGATGTACCTTCAATGCCTATTATTGTAAATGTATCATTAAAGTTTATGTATTATTGAAGTTAATATATATGTAATCTTTAAATTTTTAACGAATATCAAAATAATTTTACCTGAGCAGGATAATTCGCTAATATTTGAGATAATGTTTCCAAAGAAAGGAGATTGCTTTTCGTTATAGTAACAGTTTTACCAAAATCAATTAAAAATGCTCTTAATTGATTATGCAAACTATCATTTACAATTTTTCCCCTGTACCAATTATTATTTACCGATACAAAATATGTTTTACTAGGATCAACTGTCGTTACGATGCAATTTTCTAAATCTTCCGTATTTAATCCAGTACATACTAATCGATTTAATAAATTAACCAAAAGTTTTATACTTTCAGACTGCACTTGTACATAGACATCACCATTTTGTTCTATATGAGAAATAAGTACCTCTGATACTTGCCCCTCCTGTGAATAATAAAAGAACATTATTTTTTCATCAAAAGAATCTTACATATTATTTAATCACATTTTTATTAATAGAATATAACAAACACTCACCACATCTAATTTAGGAGCAGTTAATATACTTTGTGAAATTTGTTTAAACAATTCTAAATTTATATTAATATCATCTGGTCCATGCGTATCATAAAATACAACTGTTGCAGAGGATCCATTTTGATCTTTTTTGCGATTTCGTATTTCAACATATAATGCACGATCAAGCAAAAGTTTTTCAATTTCGCTCGTAATGCTATCACAGTCATTGAAATCTTCCAAACCAGAAAGACACAGCCTTATCGCCTAACATATAATTTAGTAAAATTTTTTATAAATATTTTTAATAATACAATAAAATTTGTATTTATATAATAAAAGTAGCATTATCATACTTGAGCCGGAAGTGCACAAAATTTTTTATCCAATATTTGCAATCTACTAAAATGGAAAGTATCCTCATCACCATGATCAATAAATGAAACCGTAACCATTCCATTTTTGATATTAAAATCTATACAACGAACTCTATGCCATGATTCATCTTCAAACACAACATAATAATTTCCAGTTTCAATATGTGGTGCTTTTCCGGATTGAATTTTATTGTAATGTTGACTCATTTTGGTAGTCATAATATCAAATTGTTCCTATACAAAAATCATACAAGTAAATATAAATAATAATTATAAAAATAAAAATTGTATAAAAAATTTTTCAGCTTACACTGTATGCGTCTCCTATAATTCTTGCCCATATTTCAACAGTACTTATAACACATGTGACAGACACAATCCAAAACTCTTCTTCTGGAAATTCTAATTGTCCAGGTGCAACAGGGCCAATTGGCTTTAGTTGTATTTTATCTGTTTTTAGTGATGTTGGAGTTCGCATCTAAATATATATATTAAATAATAATTATATATATATTAAATAATAATTGCATTCCTTTCATGAATATAATAAAACAACTTACAATGTATAATTTGTCATGATATTATGATATAATAATTTATAATCTATAATATAATTTATAAAATATGTATTATTTTACCTTTTCATTATACGAAATAAATCGACGTAGAATTATTGAATTATCAACGCCCTTTTCTAGAACAACTGCTGGACTCGTCTCAATAGTTCTTTCCCAATTTCCAGGTAAAATTTCCTCGTACTGTTGTTTATAGTATATAGGTACCTGATGCATGAAGATACCATTTGGATGGGCATCTATTATGGACAAAACTCGTTCTTTTATTATATTTTTGTCTTTAGTTTCATTGAAGCAAGAAGACGAGCCATATTTCTCAGTAAGATCGAGCAAGGCAAATTTTGCTGCAATTTTTTGTGCCTCATCTTCAGTATGTGCTTCTTCTGGATAACTTGAGTAGCCATGAGGACCAATCTAAAAATATATATTTATTGCTTTATATTTGCTGTAAATTACTACTCATTTCTTATTGCATTTATTTCTAAAAAATATCAAGATATTTTTACAAACCTTGACTTGTGCAAATATAGCTGGTTCTTTAGTATTTTTAATTGTTGTGGGACAAATTTGATACACAGGTTCTAGAAGATTTAGCGTTTTAGCCCTTCTTTTCAATTCTTCCCTTGGATCAGCAAGTTGTAATTTTGGCACAATTTTCCTATTACCTAATGGTATCTACAAACATATTTTATTAATTATGGTATTATCTAATGGTATTTAGAAATATAATTATATTTAGAAATATAATTTATATTATATACTATATTATATACTATATAATTTAGTATAAGGAATAGTAATTAATACTCACAGTTTTTATTGGTGATTGTTGAAATTTCATGTTACTATCTGCTAAAACTTGACCAGGTGAAAGAGGTGACAATACTTCAGATTGATGAGAAGGTGTAAAACTAAAAATGGGTATATCCAGCAATGAAGGTATATTACGAGTTTCTTTAAGTTTGTCACTTAGACTTGAAACTTTTTTAGGAAGCATTTCCACATTGATATTAACAGTCTTTGGTTTTTGACTTATCACAGGCTTTACTGCCTTTAGATTGTTCTTTATTTGTGTCTCATCCTTAGATTTATTAATACTTTGGTTTGCTGATAAAACAGAATTCATTTGTTTATCTTTCAGTCTCTAAAAAATAAAATAAACAAATTAAAATTAAAATAAATTTTATTCTTTCTATATTAAAATATGTAATACTACCAAATATATTACTTACTTTACTTGGAGAGTTTGGTGGTACTCCAAAATTAGAATGTATGTATCTGGGTTTATCACTATTTTGATGGATAGTAATTTTTGTTGATGTTGTAGGAAAAAACGTATTTTGTCTAAAATAATAAATATTCAAACATGTATGTGCACAAGAACGTATAATGCAATTGCAAAATTGCTTAAAAAGTAATAACTTCAAAAATACTATATATACACGTATAAAACAATAAATAAAAAAAAATTATTTAAATTAAAAGGCAAATTATTGCCTTAAATATATAAGGTAAATAAACAAGAATAGATTTCTAAGCTTAGCTTGTGTTCTGTGCTTTGTGAAAAATCATAATTATACATTTATACGATAAAGACGATTTTACGTAACCTGTGACAGTTATTTCGGTACAGAATTTTAGTTATATTATTTTAAAGAAGAATTAATTTTAACTTATGAAATAAAAAATCTTGGTAATTATATAGAGCTAACATCTGCTTTGTTCATTTTGATGATTTTTAAATATATTATCAGATACATGATTCTCAATTTTTTCCTATATGTATATATAAGCGCTGCTCGGTCTTATTCGCAAAAATCTTTTGATACTTTTCACATAGATATGGATTAATTCTATGTACTATAAATGACCATACTACTATACGTATATACTCCTCACATCTCAATTTGCGAACGAAATAGATAAGACAGAGGAACTCAACTTTTTTCATTTATTTCTGTCAATTATTTCAAAGTATTTCAAAGTATATATATTTATCTAGCGTAAACCAATACTAATATTTTTCTTTTAAGAAAAACTCATTATTTTTTCCGCTTATTGGTTTGAGTTAGATTTCCAGCTGGCAAAACTCAACTGTTAATACTATTAGTGAATTCGTTGATTTCTATAGGATCTTTTTTCTTAATTTAATTTTGAATTAAATTTACTCTTGAACATATTCTTGAACAACTAAATTAATTGGCAATTGAATTTTCCTTTTTTATCTCTCTATGTTCACAAACTAAAATGTAAAATGTATAAACAATTATGTCAATAATTGAATCTTATCCACCAAATATTACAAAGTAAAAAAATATCGAAAAATTTACATAAGTGTCTTAGAAACTAGAGATAGAAAAAAGCTCAGACTCATGTCTCTAACATATTCAAAAATCATCGAAATCAGTAAGAAGGATTTTGTTCTCTGTGATTACTACAGTATTTAGACCAGTATCTTCTTTCACATCAAACAATTTTTATAAAATATTTTTTTTAATAACTTTGATCCCATGGATAAGATATTCCTTATCAGATATATATTCCATATACGTAATTTTAAATATTTCTTAAAATTTTATTGTATATTAACAAGATTTTAGAAGACTACAAGATTTAGAAACAAAACTTTAATTATTTAAAGAGATCTTTACGTAACATTCACAATATGGGTAGGCTCATATTCTACACTTTACCTTCCACTCATTTGTGAATGTAGATTATTACCACTTCTTATATTGCCAATATTCTTTTTCGTTACAGGCTGACGAAATGGTGTTGGTTTTCGAGTATTTATCTAAAATAATATAATATTAAAAATAATATAATATACTATAATGAAATGATATAAAAGAATAAGATATATAAGAATAGGATACTTACTAATTTATTAAATTTTTTAGTTGTTGTTTTTTGACGTGCAATTAACTTTGTAATATGTGCAGATTCTTCACTAGGTATAGCCTCCACAAAATAATCATTTCCTTTCTCAATAATTCTAATACTAGATACAGTACGTAAGAAGGCAATCAAAGACTGATATCCTAATTTTCGAAATGGTATATTTTCATCAATGAGCATTTTATAATCTCCTGTAAAAAGTGTCAATATAAATATAAATATTACTTTACAGCTTTTATTTAAATTTGCTTAATTTAAATTTGCCGATTTTAGCTATGAAATAGTATGTTTATTTATTTAGTATGAATACAGTGTGTATTTTATAGTAACACAAATATATAATAACACAAATACATAATAATATAAATTTAAATAAATAATAATTTTAAATATTAATAATGGAAAGTTTTTAAAAGAAAAAACTTACTATTTAAATCATCCACTTTGACACCACCTTTTGAAGATATGAGACAAGCACGTAAATTTTTGATTACTTCTTTCTCCATTATTGCTTCTTTGTACATTTAAATATGTCAATAAATGTATATTTATGAATTATATTTACAAGATAAGACTCTGAAAATATTTAAATATCAAATATGTAACATGCAATTATATGCAATTTTTTAACAATATTCTAAACAATATATTTTTAATAATTAATTAATACCTTGTTAACGAATAACAAAATTTACTAAAATGACATTTATTTTTGAAATATAGACCTAATTGTGAGAACTACAGATACAAATATTATTTTTATAAAATATTTTCCAAAATGCTTTACATTCGACAAAAAATACTATAATGAAATTACGAAAATTGCATCTTGGCAATTATTAAACAAAATTAGATAATACTGCTTCCTATTGCTTTGAATCTCTTTCTGAAAATTCAGTCTCGTTATGCATTTATTTTAAAATATTATAATATGTGTTATATTATATATAAATATATAAAAGTGAGACAAAATATAAACGAAACAAAAAAAAAGATACAATGCAATAATTCAATTTATAATTGGGAATTCTGACGATGCCGGCAAATAGCGATCAAATCAGTATTGTAAAACTTGTGAACAAAATGTTCGCACAAGACACATGTTCATTAATTATTTGGAACAGTCGAATCTTGACTCGATACATTTAGTACAGTTATTAAAAGAAATGAAAAAAAAGAACATTTTCATATTTAAATATTTAACACGTTTAGTACAGTTATTAAAAGAAAAGAAAGAAAAAGAACATTTTCATATTTAAATATTTAAACATAAGAATCAATTTTCATATATATTATAAAATTTCACTGCAAAGTGTTATACATATATTAACACACACACACACACACACACATTTAATATATATATATATATATTTATATATATTTATATATATATATATATATAGAGAGAGAGAGAGTATTTAATGTTAATTTTAATTTTTCTAATTGAAACAACATATGCTTTTCATATATATTCGTCAATGCCACAGTAGAAAAATTAACATAATATAATGTAGTTTAAACTATATAATTATACGATAACATTTAATTATATATTCGCAACCGAAATCAATTTCATAAATGATATAAATATGACGAGAGCCTGTTTTACAAAACTAAATACATCGTTAATTTGACGTCATATAAATTGTCAGATAAAACCAATCATAGCTCCTGATGACATGTAATGAATACACAAAATCGAACGCAAAAAAAAAAAAGAAAACAGTGGCAACAGCTGTATATCAACTAACATATTTTCAACGAATGCCATCATTTTCGTATTAATGAAAGTATAAATTACCGATACATCTTTAATTTGTTAAAGTACATATTTTGAATATTGGCAAAGTATCATAAGAAAAAAAATTAGGCCACCGTTATATATATGTATATATCTCTGTGTAAAAATCGAACGTACCTTATTTTTCTTTAAATTTAGCACATACAACGTATAATAAACTTCTCTTGTAATTCTACTGAACTTTACCACTTCTCATAGAAATATATCACTTTTTGGCAACAACTTAGTTCATTCTAACATTCCCTCCTCTTCACGAAACTGACTTCCAAACTTCATTACATCTTCGCAGAGAACTGCCGAACAGGCCTAGCATATCATTCGTTGAAGTAAAACGAAATACTTCAACTGTCCAATCAAACTCTTTCTCTACCCCCTCCACTTCTAGGTAATGAACCAATCAACGGCCGGATTTACGAAGGCGGTATATTTAAGAAATTTTAATTATTATACTATACTTTTGTTTCTAAAATCTCTTTGTACCTTATAAACGATAAATTATTAAAAATAATCATATAGTGCTAATTATGATAGATAATACCAATGCAATAATTGACAAATTTTCAATTACTTCCAAATTAATAATTCTAAAAGAATTTTAAAAAATTGTTCCATCAGTAAGCTACGCATTTTTTATTAATTATAATCATTTTTAAACATTTTTACATTGGAAATTATTATACAAATCTATTAAATATAAATTCAACGTTCAAAACTTAGAACAATTCTAAATAATCGCTTAATAATAGAGCTCTTATATAATACTACGAAATATAATATTACAAGATATAATATTACGAAAAGAATATTTTTAAAAAATTTGTAATTTTTATGATTTTCTTGCATTTATTACACTTCTTCGAGGTTTACGCGTAATGCTATTGTTCTACTTTTCTTTAGTACCGCAGCTGATTTTTTTATCTGATAATAATTATCAACCATCACTTCTTTCTTGAAAAAGCTAATTACAATATTAACGTTGAAATAAAATTCCTAGCGAACACGGTTCACATCTGAAAATCTCAATACATGTGTAATAATAATACATCGATATCTGGCTTCAATACCTAGAAAAAATTTCAGATCTTTTCACAGAAAGAAAAATTACCTTTCACAGTAAACCAGATGTTACTTTTCAATACGTTCCAGATCTATGAAAATCGTGCTGCGCGAAGTACCTCACAGATTTCAATAGAACAAACAAACTTTGAAGCAAAACAGACGTCCTTTACTTTTTGTGACGCTGACCTGAAATTGGAGAAAGGATACTTTCTCTGTTGTCTGTTCTTTATAGTTAGTCGTAAAAGTCAATAGATGCAAGGCTATTCAAAACTTTTCTTTCTAAAAAACAAACAATTAACTTGAGGATGCACAGAATCTCTTATATATATATATATATATATACATACATACATGTATATATATACATATATACACATGTATGTATACATATACATATATACATATATGTATATGTATATATATATATATATATACATGACTCTCATTAATATTCGGACACTAAATATTTAAACTGTTACAATTTTATAAAAAACAAAATCGTACGACAATAAACCTGAACTTATTTTAAAGCTTGAAGCCTTTACTTTCAAAATGCATTTTATTCTAAGATATTTTTACATTACGCACCGAGAGGGAAAGACACTTTTCTTCTCGAAAATACTATAAATTGTTATAGTATGTAAAAAAGAGAAACTTTTTTTGCGCCTAAATCCAGCATATATTTGAAGATTGAAACTGTTTCTTCATTCACAATTTGTTATATTCGTTTTCACCTGATATTCAAAATTCAATAAATTGACGAAAAAAAATCGTACAGGATGTTTTACGCAGTCGTAAAAGGAAAGCTTTAATCTTTAAATCCGTAGCAAACAAGATTTTTCAATTTTTTTATATATCATAATAGTTAATTTTCGAGAAGGAAAATATTAGAAAATATAAAAACGAAATGTTCGCTCGACGACTGCTTTTGTTCTATCATCGGTCTCAAAAGTTAATAAATCCAAGCGTAATACTGTCGTCGCAAAACTTGACCCAAAGATACTGCACTTCTGTTCACTGTGTGTATCGGCATTCATTCGTACATTCATGTGCAGTCTAACTCGAGACTTCTTCCAAGAATTGCTTCAATAATATAGCCATAGTTTATGTCAGAGTTCGACAAATCTTACAAAAATATCTTCACATTTGCTACATAGTGTAAGAACATCTTAGAACAAAGTGCATTTTGAAAGTAGAGGCTTCAAACTTTAAAATGAACTGAAATTTATTTACGTGCAATTTTTTTTTTTTCAATTATAATAGTTTCAATACTTAGTGTCTGAATATGTAAGTGTTCAAATATTAATGAGAGTCACAATATTAATGAGAGTATATAAACAATAAAATATTGTTGTAATTACTTGAAGTATTTCAATAGTGTTAGGATAAATATTTATGGAAGAAAGAACACATTTCTTCTAGGCTCAATTTGCTATGAAAGAAAAATTATACATATATAAAATAAGTAAATTAACATTATATATTGAAATATTAAGAGCAAATGTTACTATGTCATAAAATAATTCCACTACATTATGTATAAGTTAAATATAAAATACAATATTTAAATATTTATTTGAAGAAATCAGTTAAAATAGAAAATTATTTAAAGAAAATGATTTCTTTAATTTCAACATAAAACAAAATTACTTTCCTCATGTTAATTGTGAAATAAAATAATAAAATAGTAGAAACAATTCATTTAATTATTTATTAATATATACTGTAGATATCTATATTCTATATTTTAATATCATTTTTTCAAATTGAATTATAAATTTTTTTATATATCGATGAATTTTTTATTTCAGAAAAAAAATTAAAGCACTTAGATCAAAAATCAATTAGTTTAATATGTTTAATTTTAATTTGTAAAACTTATAAGAAACAAGAAAGATGCAAGGAAATTATATACTCTTGTATTACTATTTATATTTATTTTTATTTACATTTTAATAATACGATTTTTTTTGTTACAAATACAAGTTTTTGTCTTTTTTGCGAGTTTCTGTAATTTACATTATTCTTACTTTTCTATTACATTTGATGAATAAAATCGTTTTTACAATATAATTGAAATTTATAAATATATAATTTAAAAAATATATGTCTGTTATTTGATTAATATCAAAATATAATCATCAAGATATAAAACTAATTTTTATACTTATATATTTTACTCATTCTTATTTATATATTTTATTTTTCTAAATTTATACAATTTGCTTACAAATTATAGATTAATAGAAATGTATCAGGTGATATAAGTTTATTATAAAAGAAATAGGGGAACAAATATTAATATACAGTAATTTCTAGTGTAATAAATAAAAGCCAAATTGCATTTCAAACACTTCAAATAATTTATTCTCTATACTTTCATTACATGTGTATTACATGAAAGTAATAATACAAATATCTTAATAATAATTTTAAAAAAAGGAAAAAAAATACTTAAAACAAAGGAAGGATCGGGGAAAGAATAAACTCATTTGATACTTTTAAAGGAAAATTTATTTATCATAAAACTCGAGGAAGAAAAACTGAACATCGTTACGAACAATTAAGGAAGAATAAAATAATACCTTAATTAAGATGTTTACTCTTTTTTAGAAGCCACAGCCTGTTTGGCCTGATGAGCTTGTAATACAGCTACGGCCTCTTCAACCTTGGCTTTCAGCGATTCGTTATGCTCCAACATATGCAGGAGTTCCGAGTTGTCAATCTCCAGTAACATTCCCGTAATCTTCCCAGTAAGTTGCGGATACATACATTGAATCAATGGGAAGAGACGTTCCCCCAACATTTGTTTTTGTTCTTGAGGTGGAGCAGCTGCCAGCATTGAGGCAGTTAGTGGTTCTTGGCCTTGAATATGAACAGCTTGCTGTACAGGCGTTGGGGCAGGGAGTGCCATTGCTTGTGGTGGATTACGCATGTTTGAAGTGTATTTGTAATTTGATGGACGGTTTTGAGTTGATACTCCCACTGCTGGACCAGCCATTGAACGATTTTGCATATTTGCACCGCCAACTGCTTGTTGACCTTAAAGAACGAATAAAATTAATCGAAGTTTTTAAAAACAAAATGTTAAAAATAAATTATATAAAAATTCAATATTTATTACCTGTGATTGGTCGAGCAGACAAAGTACTTCGCATTGTACCAGTTTGTGCAGTGGGAGCTCGTGGTGCAGCTCTAAATGGACCTTGCATTGTAGCAAAACCTGAACTTCCAGTTTGAGCATTGGGTCGCACCTGATTTGGTTGCGCTGGCCAACGTGGTGTTGTACGAATTTGGGCCATCTGTGCAGGTCCATAGAATCTTTGTGGTTGTGGAATAGTGGGAACGAAATAATTTCCGGCACCACCAGGCTGAAAAATTTGACCCATTTGCTGCATTCGCATGTTTGCCAGACGCTGCATGTATTGAGAAGCAAGATGCGCTTTACGATCTTCTTTACGCTGAGCCAGAGCAACATATAATGGTTTAGTTACTATTATACGACCATTCATTTCCGTTACAGCTTTGGTAGCTTCCTCAGGAGCAGAAAAACAGACAAATCCAAAGCCTTTACTGCGTCCTTCTTCCATCATAACTTTAGCAGACGTAATTGTTCCAAAAGGTGCAAATTCTTTGCGTAACCGCTCGTCATCTATACTATCGTCCAAATTCTTTACATATAGATTTACTCCTTGATAACGATTTAAACGTTCTAATTTTAATTGTTCAAACTTTCGTTTTAATTCTTGCTGACGCTCTGCCTTCTTTTGCGCCCGTCCAACATACATACATTTTCCTTCAGCAACTTCTTTTCCATTTAATTCGAGTACTGCTTGTTCAGCAGCGTCAGGATCTTCAAATGCAACAAAACCGAATCCTCGAGATTTGCCGTCATCCTTGATCATAACTTTGTGACTGGTGATGGTCCCATATTTTTCAAACATTTCTTTAAGTTTATCATCCGTCATGTCTTCCCCAAAATTCTTTACATAAACATTGGTGAACAGTTTAGCTTTTTCTCCTAATTCCTTTTCACGTTCTTTGCGGGGTATAAATTTACCAACATATACCTATGTATTTAAAAAAAAATTACTATAAAAAAGATTACCATAAGAAAGAATTAAATGAGTAAAGGAGAATAATAAGGAAAATGTTACCTTTTTTCCATTTAGTAACATGCCATTAACTCTATCAATAGATTTATTTGCTGCTTCTTCAGTTTCAAAATGAACAAAACCATAACCTTTAGAAACGCCAGATTCATCTTGAGCTACTTTGCAACTAAGTATATTACCGAAAGCAGAGAACGTATCGTACATTGCTTTATTGTCTATATTTTTATCTAAATTTTTTATAAATACATTTCCAACACCAGATTTCCGAAGAGATGGATCACGTTGAGACCACATGATACGAATTGGCCGTCCCTTTATCATATCAAAATTCATTGTATCAAGTGCTCGTTCCGCTGAAATATGCAAAAATAACTTATTTAGTTCCTCATCATTTTTATCGAACATCTACATTAAATCCCTAAATTGTCATATACATTATAAAATATACGTTATTCAAAAAAAAAATTGTAGAGTGGTCAAAAAAATTTGAAAAAAAAAAAATTCAAATTAAACCACATGTTACATATACTAATAATTTAAAAAGTACGTATTAAAGGAAATATTAACGGAAATTTTAACGAAAACATTAAAAAACCAAAATACATAATTTTTTTAATCTTTATTTAAATTGTGTTCTTGTATATATACATATATATGCATGCACGTAATAAATACGTCGCATATTGAAACCTATCTTCTTAGGACTAAGAATGTTTCTATTATCATTCAATATATTTTTCAAAAAAGCGGAAAAAAGCATTGAAAAACACAAAACATGACTCGATACAATCGTCAACCGCTATCTACTTTGTCCGAAGTGGGTTTCAATATGGTGGCATCGTATGATCCGAAACACGTGTCAAGCACGGACAAATGATGTAACAAAGAACGACTACCACGGACAATGGACATAGAGTATCCTAGCAAAAAGGAAACGCATTGCAGCGAAAAATACAATTGTACTCACCATCAGCAGGTTGCTGGAAGTTAACATAAGCATATCCAAGCGAGCGTCGGGTAATCATATCACGACAGACGCGTATCGAGAGTACGGGCCCAGCCGATGAAAACTTCTCGAAAAGCATCGCTTCGGTGATATCACCGTGCAAATCGCCGACGTAGAGTGACGCCATAGGATAATTAGGTGCCCCTGGGTTCATATTCGTAGTATTCCCTCGTCTTGCAGCTGCTTAAGTTGAAAAAATTCTCTGGTTTTTAGTTTCTCTCGTTCCTTCAATATGGCTTGCGCTCTTCCGACCACGTTGCTCTTTGTAACACAATGATTACTATTTTTTTCCACACTTTACTTACGTTTCGCGGTTTTCAGCTACGGTTTTTCGATTTTTTTGTTTGTATTTTTATAATTTTTATATTTTTTTTGGGTTTTTTTTTTATAGAAGAGTTATTTCACGAATGGAAGTGGGTTGTGTGACCTATTTTGTAGAAAAAGGAGACACAACCACACGTGAACACAACTCTACTCTTACTGCGGAAGAGGCACTGAAAGTAGTTCCGTTTGTGCTTATATAGTCATCACAATACGCATTACACGCCGAAGAAGTAGTCCCTTTTGTAGGCAATTGCACCGCCACCTACATTCGAATTTAGGGTATTTCCAAATATCCCTATGATAAAATATATTTTCTTACTTTTATAATAAAAATAAATGGTTATTATAGTCCATCTATTATTTCTAATACGGAAATATCAATTTTTTTTAATATTCTTTGAAAGATCTTTTAAAACTTTAAAAACATCCAGATGTACTGAACATTTTATTTGAAATATATTGTTTCCGAACAATGATAAATAAACTTGATGTTTTTGATATCCCATAGCTATATATTTTTAAGTGATTTCTCCAAAATATAATAATTTACATAATTGTACGAGCATAAACTAATTCGTACAATGTACTGAAAGTAGATACTTATATCGAATGTAACAAGCTAGGGATTCATTGATTCAACGAGTGCATATTGCTATTGTTGATACTGATTGTTTTAGCAGTAAAATAAATCCAACGATAACAGTTGGAAGTAGCAAGTATCTACGATTTAACATAAAATATTTAAAGTATCTAATATGGCATTGCAAGCTATAGCTAGATCTTTAAAATCTGTATTTCGTAAGTAAATTTACAAAATTTTGCACATTAGAGTATTTGTAAATCTTATGTAATTATATATCTACATATGTACATATCGTATTTTATAGCATCAATCCAGAAATGGGGATTTGAATTTGCTGGATGGGGGAAATACGGTATGAAATATCTATACATTATATATATTTATAATAGTTATTATACAAATATATCTTTTAAATACAAAATTATATTATTAATATGTAGAAAAAAGCCACTTCAATCTAATAAAATATATGATTTTATTTTAAATTACATGATTTAATATTTCACTTCATGTAATTAGGTTTATATAAGGATGATCTTTATTGGGAGGATGAAAGTGTAACAGAAGCATTAAGACGATTAAATATCGTGGCTCCACATGTAATAGAAGAACGTAATTTCCGACTTATCAGAGCTATTCAATTAGATTGTCAAAAACAAATTTTGCCAAAAGAACAGTGGCTTACATTTGAAGAGGTAATTTGATATTAAAGATTTATATATTTATACTTAATATTTATACTTTATGTACTTATATAATTATTTAGTATTTGAAATAAAAATACAAATAAAATTTTTATTACTGAATAGGATATTGAATATCTGACACCTTATGTGGATGAAATAAAAAGGGAGCAGGAAGAGAGAAAACAATGGGATGCAGAGTAAAGTATAACAATGTAGTAAAAAATATATTCATCTTATACATAAATTGTAATTTCCAGATATTGGATTGTATATACATTAAATAAAATATCTTTAGTCATTCTATTGTTTCAAATATAGTGGTTTTTCACAGATTATGCAGGCTACATTGTTGACTGTTCAGTTTCAATAAATTATTCTATATTTTTGATTTACATTTCTTTCATCTATATTACCATGTTATACAAAATCAGTCATTTAAGTCATAATGCAGTTTTTAGATCAAAAAATTATCAGCTAAAAGAAATTAATACGTTGCAATTAACACTTAAGATTTAAATAAATGAATTCTTTGTTCAGCAATATTTAAAAGGAAATAATTGTAAATTGCATTGTAAATCGCATCAATTGGAACTCATTTAACACCCTTTATCCAATGACTTATTCATCATTTCCCCCCACGAAGACCCGCCGCATAGTTAGTGCGTAATTCATTGTTAATAAGCGCGATGATATTAAAGAGAAATCTTCGAATGTGAATGTCAATTTTTTGATAAGTACAAAAAGGGGTTTGTAATACAGCAAGAAATTTTTGCATTATACTTGTAAGAGTTTCGCGGGCAAATGGCGGATCAATATTTCACCCCCACGCGAATCTAAGCGGCATTCCCAATTACCAAAGATTTATACGAAGTAATTTGAGTTTCGTGAGTAAAAAAATCTATTTTCGTTTTTTCTTTTTTTTTTCGTATCGAATTTTCGAGCATTGTTTTATGTTTTTATAGCATATAATCCAATATCCTCTACGTGATTCTTAAAAAGGAAGCTTTAAAGTGAAAATTACACAGAACATCACATAAAAAATGGTAATTGGAAATCACAAATTAAAAAATTGTTATATAAAAATTTAATAACAGGCGGCCGAAAACTTTGCTTATTTTAATTATTTATCCCCTTTATCTTTTGCAAACTTAATAGTGTTCGTACTAGTATCCATAAAAGTAGTGCGTAGTCTTCAAATTTTCATTGCATTTCGTACACGTTTCTTTTTGTAACGGGTTGAATTTATGCATTTTCTATTATATACACAAGAAAAAAAAAAATATCTATTTAAGTCAGTTTTATTAGGGTTGTAAACCTTAATCGAAATGTCAAGTGATGCTACGTGAAAAGTGAAACGGTAAAACCACCCCTTCAAAGTCGAGCGTGAGGAAATTGACAAAACGTTTTATTATAATTACATTCCTTTCGTGGATGTGAAATATCTTGTTATTCAAAATTTGTTTTAGGACGATTATAATGTGTGGACGAAGGTAATTAAACAAAATAATAGCATTATTTTTAAGAACCTTTATATTTTAATACAGAAAAGTTGAGGATATTATATCAAATGTACATTTCGATTCATTGCAGATGCTGAAAAAACAGCAATCAGCGTATTTTCAAAGAAGAAAAACACTGATGATGAATCCTTACAAAATTGATCACAACATTTTATACCTAATACAAAGTAAAAAATTTGGGAAATTTACACAATAACTCTTTTAATGCTGTTAAAAGCATTCTAATACATGTTGTATGAGAAAAAAAAACAATGCTACATATATCAGGTGCTGCGCCAAAATACTACCTCTGCTATGTGTACAAAGTAATAAAATTGATTGTTTTAGAAGTGAAATAAAATTATTAAATATATATATATATATATATATATATATATATATATATA